CAAATTCATAGTAATTGTTTTTTTTTTTTTTTGTATTTGAATGTTACTATTTTTTATTTTTAATGTTGCTATATATATAGATAAGAAAAAAAAAATTTAATGTTAGTCAAACTCTTAACCTATATATGGATATAGATAGATATAAGAGAGAAAACATTAACTTCTTTTCAAGGAAATGTATTTTTGAGATAAAAAAAAATAACTTAAATCATTAAATATAATTTTAAAAATGGACTTAGCCTCTTATAAGTTTCTTTGCAGAACTTACCTCCAAACAAGTACATCTAGGGAGACTATTTCCAATTTTCACTAAAAAAAAATAGTCTAGAGACCATACACCGGCTAAACTCCGGGCTCTGCTCTTCTGGCCCAAGCTCTCTCATTGGGCCATATTTTTGTACTATTCAAATGGTAGTTCATTTATTTTTCATTTTCCATACTTAAAAATTTTAAGTAGAAATGCTAGGCCAAACAGACCCATGGCCCATGAGATCTGGACCAGGCGGGACGGCCTACTCATTGCTGCCACTAGGAATAAAATCGATAAACGAAAGTTTCTAACATAAAATCTAGTACTACTCAAGTTAAATCGGGTCAACTTCCACATAAATGAAAGTTTCTAACATTTTTCATTAATTTGAGTACCACAAGACAAAGTTAAATGGATAAAGAAGATAGTGATCGTCTGCTCGATAATGCTATTGTGTAATTTCAAAGAGTAGTTCAAGTAGTAATAGAGATAAACTGTAAATTTAGACATCCTGATTTTGAATTTTGAGTATCTCCTTGGGGCATGTCATAAGAGATTTATCTCTTATGAAAACCTTAGTTTAATTTGGATGACTTACTTTTAACCAAATTAGAGAGGGAATTAACCGAGGAGTTTGTAAGTTGACCTAAATATCCCTAACTGTTGAATCACCAAAAAAAAAAAAGAGGATAATGCTACTGTGGAGGTTACCAATGGGAAGGACCTACAATAAATGTTCTTATAGTTAATAAATACTTACATTAAAAAAAAAAAGCCAGTAAATGTGAATGTTACAAAATTCATGGTACTTGACCTATAAAATGGTAGTTTGAGTGATTCTTTACAAGAGTTGTTCGAATCTGTTCACTTTCACCCGATCGTCTGGTACCTTCAAACAATAAAAGAGAAGCGTTTTGACAGGAGATCTGTTCAGAAGCATGGAGAGGAAAGGAGTTAGCACAATGGGTATGTTGTTGCTTGTATTGTTGATGCTTGCTGATAATGTCATGGCAGTGGAGTTTATTACGCATCTATCTTGCAAGGTCAACTGCGAAATAAAATCATATTGTGGCAAAGTTTTTGGGGGAAAGGAGTTTGAGTCGTGCATGCGCCAATGCCAAAGGTGACACTTTGGAGAATGGAAGAACACCCATAAATCATAATAATTTGTGACCAATTTGGCACAATTAGTGCCCTAAACACACCAAAAAATAAATGGGTATTTTATTAAACATTTTCCAAGTGTCTGTGTGTGTGTGTGTGTTTTTTTTTTTTTGGGTGGGGGGGGGGGGGGGGGGGGGGGGGGGGCGGGGGTTTACCATTTATTTGAGAAGAATGTACTTTAGTTGCAAAAATATGTATTTCTTTGAATTCGGAGTCGGAAAAAGGTATAGTACCAAAGTATACAATATTTTGGGCTAAGGTATTTTTGGAGTTTAGTTTACAATCCAAAAATAATATAATTTTTTAGGATCATGTTACAATTTTTATGCTTCAAGTTCCGATTACCACTGTTTGAAGTGTCTTGAATCGATCCTAACATCTTTAGGATCAATAGCAAAATTTCAAAAATTTTATAAATGACTAAAAAATTGTGTATAACGTCTACATCGTAGTACAATATTTAAATTATTTTTTTGGATATAGTAGAATTCTCCCTCTTAGAAAATAGAAAGACTGTTTATTTATTTTTTATTTTTTGGGTTAGAAAAGAATGATTAGTTAAATGAAATCAACTAAAAATGTCCTAATTTAAAATTGCTTTGGAAGAGGATGAGGATTAAGATTGTGAGAAAGCCTGTAAAAGTAAGCACGGCCCAGTAAGCACACGAGCCGAGAAGCCCAATCTTAAAAATAAGGCCCACGCTGGGCTTGAATTAACCTAGCGTAGTCCTGAATAATAATCGTGCTCATGGACTTTTTAACAAAATCGGCCCACGTTTTTCCTATTAACAATAATTCTGTGTTTGACGACATTTTACGATATCAAAATTTTAGCATTAATGGTGCAACATTGATATTTTAAATAATAATTTATTTTTTATTTAATTAATTAATTTAAAATTAAAGTAAAAATAGATAAAATAAGAGAGAAGTGGGGATAAGAGAAGAGAAAGGTAGTTGTGAATTAATAGGGTTGTCTAGTATTTAAAAATGTGTTGGTCGAATTATTTGATGTTGGAGATTGTGAAGAGAAAATGATGTTTTTGAGTGAAAAAAAAAAAAATTGGTTAAATTTTATACTATTAGATCAAATTAAATAAAAATTGGATCAATTTTGACAATTATTTCGCTTTTATAAGTCGAAAACTCAATTTTCTAATTATAATATTAGATAGATCAGCCACAAATGCTACATCTCGATTAAGTATCTATTCAGAAATTTATAATTTGAATTTGGAGATAGTGGCTCTTAATTTTATTTTATTTTATTAAAGGATGACTAAAGACTGTAAAGCTCTTTTGCTGTTTGTAAAACTCCTATTCTCTAAAGCCACGTTGTTTCACACATAAAATAAAAATCGTTTTATATATAAAACAAGAGGAGTGATTTTTCAAAACAATATTATTTTACACAAGGATTAAAATTTTGTTTTAAAACAGTTAAAACGTTCAAAACGTTTCCATTTTCAAGTAGACCGAAAAACGAATTAGTGATAGAATCGAAATTCTAATATTTTGAGGTATTTTATAATGTTTTGAGATATTTTGTAATATTTCAATACATATACATAATTATTTCAAAATATTTTAGGATACTTTTAAATATATATATATATATATATATATATATATATATATATATATATATATATTGACCAATATTTTAAAAAAATAATTCTTAATTTTTTTAATTTTTATTACTATGTTTACGAAATACGTCGAAATATTTTTGTTTCCTAAGATACCGAAATAATATACCAATATATAATTTTGATCTTTAATTTTACACACAAAACGACGTCATTTTGCATATAAAAAAATATCAATTTATAAGAGAAGTTTGTTTTGTCTTCCACTAGTATCAAAAAATTGACCCAAGCTGAAAACAGCTAAGCAAACAAGCGTCTCAAACAAAACAATAATCATCCCCTAACCAACCAATTCACCCACCTAACCCTCAAGAGTCACAATTGGACCACTTCCACAAACTCCTCATCAGCATTCACACCCAAAATTATCCCCAAAACCAAAAATCTATGCCCATGCTCTCCTTTCATTTGCTGTATTCTTTGACTCAATGATTAATTACGCTTTCTCTCTTAAATTTATTATCATGTTTCTTACGTCTTATCTTAAACTATGATTATTAGTATCACATTGCCCTAATGATTAACGTCTATTCGAAACTTAACGTAAAATTATTTTGTTCTATTCGTGAAATTATGTAATTTTGTTTCATTTCCTTTTGACATGTTGACATTTTTCATCTAAAAGATAACGTCTATTTAAGTTTTGAACAATGTAACAAAATGTAAGTAATTGTGATAGTTAAAAAGGCAAATGGAGATGAATGTAATAGTTTAAAGGCAAATGGTCATTGGCACTTTTTTTTTTTCTTATTAGGATGAGATCATCTCCATTATCTAAAATATCACTAACACTTTTTGTTGGTAGGTATTTTTTTAATGAGATCCTATCTATTATTTAAAATATCACTGATATCCCTTATTAAATTAATGATGTTAACTAAAATATAATTTTATTAAATTATCTATGATATATTTTAGAAAAAAAAACTCCATCTATATCTTCTCTAGATAAATATAACTTTAATAAGACCTCCACTGTTTTCTAAACTTATTTTACGCATTAAAATTTGGGTCAATTAAAATTAATTTCAAGCTTATTAAAATTTATTTTTTACGTATTAGAATTTGAGCCGATTAAAATTCTATTGGAGTCGATTAAAATTTATTTTTAATCGGCTCAAATCAAATTAAATTTTAACCGACTCATATTTTGATATATACAAAAAAATATAAATATTAATCGAATCAAATTTTAATCAACTTAAATAGAATTTTAATAAGTAAAAAAAATAAAATTTAATCAGTTAGAATCGAATTTTAATTAACTCAAATTTTAATATGTAAAAAAATAAATTTTAATTGACTTGAATTTTAACTAAATTTTATATAGAAAGATTGTTTGGAGTTTATATAAGAATAATTTTAGTATTTTAGATTAAAAAAAAATTGTTAGAGACCTAGGTTTAACAACGTGGAGTGTCAATAATGTTTTTTATAATAAAAAAGATCTTATTGAAAATATATCTAGAGAATAGATAATAATTAGCTAGTTTAAACTGAAAAAGTGTAATTACCTTGATCATTGGCATGATTCAGGAAAAAAAAATAAAAAAAAAAAAAAGAAAAAGCGTCATCCTTCTTTTTGGCTCCTACAGCCTGTCGGCCTTGTCCCTCGATATTTCTATATCATTGTCACCATTTTCAATATTCAATTCATTTGGGCTTTGTCTGCTTACCTTGATCCTTCCTTTCATCCACCCATTTATAATCTAATAAATTTCTCCCCCATTCTTCAATCTTTTGTACAAATTCCTCTTATCCCATCAAAAATCTGCAAACCCATTACCATAGAGGTTCAATCTTTACTCTCTCTCTCTCTCTCTCTCTCTCTCTCTCTCTTCTGTATCTGCAAACCTATTATCATAAAGGTTCAATCTTTGTCCCTCCAATTCTCTCTCTTCCATATCTATTTGGGTTTTGTTAGATTCCATTCAAAGTCGTGGAAATATAAGTATTTTTGCAGATTTAATCTGTAATCACAAAGAAAAGGGTAATAATATGGCAGAAGAACATGGATTTCAAGCTCCCGAAGGTCACCGTTTATGTGCAAATAACTGCGGTTTTTTTGGGAGCTCTGCAACTCAAAATCTTTGTTCCAAATGCTACGGAGACTTCTGCCTGAAAGAAGATCAGAAAAAGTCTGTAAAGACCGCAGTAGAGAATTCTCTCTCTGTATCAGCCTCCTCCGCTGTATCATCGGTTGCGCCACCGTATTCATCGCCGGTGTCGTTGCAGAAAGCTGCCGGTGATGGGCTGGTTTCGGCGGCGGAGGAGGTGGTGGTTGTGCAACCGGTGGCGGCGCAGTTGAACCGGTGCTCGGCGTGCAGGAAAAGGGTCGGGTTGACAGGGTTTAGGTGCAGGTGTGGGACCACGTTTTGTGGGACCCATAGGCACCCAGAGCTTCATGGGTGTACGTTTGATTTCAAGGCCATAGGGAGAGAGGCCATAGAAAAGGCTAATCCTGTGGTCAAAGCAGAGAAGTTGGAGAAGATATGATCTGTACAGTTGGATTTGATGACTTTGTATGTCATGAACGGTGGATATTATGATTGTGGTCAACATAGACATGGGGGAGTCGTGTTTAAAAAAAGAAAATGGGTTGTGACTTGTGAATATATTTTTTTTTTTCTTTTTTTTTTTTTTAGTTTTTTTCTTTTTAAACAAATCTATGTGGTTGCATGTAAAAAAGGTTCTTATGGTGTTAATAGTATAGATCAAGTTTTGTTGTCCACTCTTACTTATATCTTTCAAGAAAAATGATGAATATTTAATACCGTCAAATTTATAACATAAAATGAGATAGACTTCAATAAATTCATCTAACGTTTTTAAATAGACTCATCCAATGATCACTGACATCCTTCTCAAAAATCATTCATATTGAACCGTGTCTTCGAACACGGTTTATCTTTGTAGATTGAAATGATACATCATAACTTCGTTTGTCTTTCTACCCAATTATTTAAATAAAATGTTAAACCATTGAAACGCTAAAAATTTAGTGATAATATATGAACCTAGTTTAGATTTTTTTTTTTCTTTCGCTCTATGAGAAAATGAGTTACAAATATGGAGAAATTAAGTAGTTACAAACTATAACTAGTACTGTGACTATTGCTATGACTACTAGTACTATAACTATGGCTATTATCCTCTGCACTTCCATCCAAAACTTTGCTCCTTACTAAGCATGGTAGGTCATTAGTTGCTAACTCTCCATTGAACTTTGTACTCAGACCCCACATGGCGAATTCATGCGCAACTTTATTGGGTTCTCTGTATGTATGAATTATGCTGCTCCTGTCCAAATGTTGCTCCAGTAGCTGCTGTAAATCCTGGATGATAGACAAAATGCTCCACTTGAGCTTGATGTGTTTTTATCAGTACTGCATGCACCCACTAGTTGTGAATCACATTCAATTGTTGTTGGCGTTGGGGAGAATTACGTCTAAATGTTTTGAAATTTGTTACTTAATCACTAAGACCTCTTGATATTTAAAATATTACACATAGACCTCCTAAGGTTTGTATCCACGTAACACTTAAACCTCTAATGTAAATATATCTGTTAATAAATTACACTTAAACCTCTCTAAAGTTTAGTTTAAAAAATTATACTTAGATCAAAAATAGAATATCAAATATTTTAAATTTTATAATCAAAATTAATATTCTATTGTATTATATATTGAAATAAAATTAAAATTTTAATTTTAATTTTTTCTTAAAAATCGTAATTAATATACAATTATATTATCTATTAGAATAAAACTAAAAAATCAAATAAGGGATCTAAGTCATTCATAAAAGAAAATGAATTTTATAACTAAAATTCATGTTCTATTATGTCATTTATTGAAATAAAATCAAAAATAAAAATCTAAAAAAATTATAGTTAGTACATAATTATAATATCTATTAGAATAAAATTAAAAATAAAATAAACAAGAGGTCAAACTGTAATGGACATAATATATTTTATCTTTAGTTGGGGTAGTATGGTATTTTAATTTGGTCTTTTAAACGACCAAATTAAATTCCAATAGACAATTTGTATACTAATTACGATTTTTTAAGAAAAAATTGAATTTTTATTTTTAATTTTATTTCAATAAATGATACAATAGAACATGAATTTTAATTTAAAATATTTGATATTTTATGTTTAATTGAAGTATTTTTGGTTTAAGTATAACATTTTAAACTTAAGGGGTTTAAGTAATATATACTTATAATCTTTAGAGGGGTTTAAATATAATTTATTAACAGATATATTTATATCAGAGGTCTAAGTGTTACGTACGTATAAACCTCAAAGGGTCTGTGTGTAATATTTTAAATATCAGGGGTCTGAGTAATTAAGTGACAAACTTCAGATGAGTTAAATGTAATTCTCTTTTGTTGTTATGTAGCTCCAGTCTTTAGAATTCGCCCAGAGTGTTGCTTCTCTTGCTGCTAAAGCCTCTGCTTTAAGTGGATCCATCATGCTTTTGAATTCAGTTTTCGATCCCAGTATTTGACCTTGACGGTTTCTGGCAATAAAACTATACTCCTAATTGGGAATTGTTCATTTTATTAATACTTTTTTGTCCATTTTAACTCCACTTTTAATTCAAAAATATAATTTATAGGAATATTATGTTGAAAACTTTTTAAATGAAATTGTATATAGTAAAAATTGAGGGTGAGTCCCTCTAGATAGACTTATAACGACTTGAGTCCTGAAAGAAAACTTATTTGGAGGTAAGTCTATATTTAAACTTATATGTAGGTATTTAAATCCACTTATTTTTTAAATCTTAAAATTATCTCTAACAGTGTTAGTTTTGTCCTATATTAGATTATTGAGGTATATATGAAAACCCTTGAATGAGTTATATATGAAAATATTTTATTAAATATTATGATAATAAATGAAAGTTTTATATGAAAATCATATATTCTGATAGTTATATATGAGAGACTTAATGTACAAATAAATTGTTAGTTTTTTAAGTCAAAATCAGATCACAAAATTTCTTTAACAACAGTAATGCATAATATAGAAAAGCTGAACAATATCAACAAAGTTCAATAACATGAATGTTAATATATAGTAACATTCATGTTACTATATGATTTAAGTTACAATTATGGTCGTGGTTAATATATAATAACATTTATGTTATTATATTATGGAAGTTACAATTATGGTCGTGTTATAAGTATAGTCGTAATATTTATACTGATACTAATGTTACTACAGTAAATTTTAGCATACAATTGCAAACCTTGAGACGTATATTATGTAACAGACATTTTAATATTCACACTAACATCAAAGTTTTGTGCTCAATAACACATCTAATTTTACAAAATACAAGACAATAGTTTTTTTACAGTAACATCAACTTTTGAATGATTTTAGTGAAAATACGATCCACAAATTAAAAATTTACAAAATGACGAATAGTAACATACAATCGACAGTTAAATTATGACACTCAACACCAATTGTAAACATCAAGATATTGAAATTTTGAACTTCATTTTTCGGTTCACGTACAATAAAATGAACTTTTACAACAGTAACACAACCCAAAAATACTTGATTGTCTTGCGCAACAAAAAAATTAGCAAAATCAAAATTTATAATACTTTAATTTAGTACTAATGTATGAGTTCTCTTGAATCTTAGTTACAAGATTAATGCATACTTTGACATAATTAAATTTTTAATTGTTATTATTTTTTTACCATATTACTATTTTTTGTGAGCATGCTATTATTTTTTTAATGACCATGTTACTGTCTTTGTTAAATATATTACTATTGTTATTTTTTAAAGATTAATATTTAATATTAATATTTTGTCGATAGAGTCCAAAATAAATTGAAATAGTAAATTGAAATTATATTTTATGGAATGTAATGAGTTTGAAATTTGAATATGAACGGTTTTTAGTAAATGATGGTTTCTTGTTTTTTGGATAAAAAAACATTGTGACTTGGAAGATTGTAACCGGATTTGAAAGTAATTATAAATGAGATGTATATGACTGGTTATTGTGTCTATAAACGTCGTTTATAGCATTCCTACAATTAAGGCTAACCAAAGTATGAATGTATCTTAGGTAAGCCTTCCCAAACCATACTAGCTTATGCCAAGATACTACTACAATTGCATCCCTGTGATCCCATGCTGATTTAGTTGAATATTTACCATTTACAGTCAGAGACCACCCCTCACAACATCATTCCTAGGCTGATTACGTGGGTAGGATGGCATTGGATTAAAACTATCATGCATTTCTGGCGAAGAATCTGTAATGTAGTGCCATTGGTTTTTTCGCTATTAATCTATTAACTATTGCCACCCTTGACATTCCTGCTTCTTGGAGAACTCTTGCTTAAAGGCCCATAAGGGTGCCAATTAATATGCCAAAATCTAGTATTTTCCCCATTCTCCACTATATGCACCATCATAGCTCTTAACACTTCTCTAAGTTTCAATAGGATCGTCCAATTCCAAGAACATGGTTGTGGTGTTTTAAGCTCCCATAGGTTCTTTTCATTGATGTAAAACACATAAATCCCTTGACATCATGGATTCTCCTTATTATTGACCAGCTGCCATAAGAGTTTTAGCATTAATGCATCATTCCATGCTTTGAGGCCCTTGATTCCAAGCCTACCATCTCTTTTAATTGGGTTTGCATACTTCCTCCCAAGAGATTTTTGCTGCTGTATGTCTAAGTTTATTTCCATTTCATATAAAGGACCTCATAGGTTGTTCAAGCCTATCCAGTAACTATTTTGCAGTTTAACCTCAACTTGTACAATCCTTGTTATTGGTCAATTCAGAATGGAGTGTAAGTTACCCACAGATGCAAGTCATCCATGAGGCCAGGGTGGGCTCAGACCATTGACTTATAATCATAAATATGGAGTCAAGTCTGACGAAGAGCCCATATTCTTTCAAATTTGAAACATTGGGGATGGAGGATGTAAAATGTGAGGAGATTGTTAAAAAAAGCTGGGAGGAAATGTTGAATGGATCTACGATGTTCACTATGACAAAAAGGTTGGAAAAGTGTGGCAAGGAGCTCAAAAGCTAGATTAGGCAAAATTTTAGAAATGATAGAAAGATTATGTCAGAGTTAAATTCCAAATTAATTAACTTGCAAATGATAGAAGATTCAGAGGAAAATCTAAGGAAGGAAGCTGAGATATGTGTTGAGATTGACAGTATAAGTAGAAGAGAAGAAAAATTTTAGAAACAAAGATTAAGTATTAATTGGCTGAGATCTGAAGATCAAAACACAAGATTTTTCCATTTAACAACCATACAGAGAAGGCAAAGAAACCAAGTCCTGAGGCTAAAGACAAAAGAGACTATCTGGCTTGAGGATGAAGAGGAGCTGAACAATCATTTTAAAGAATACTTTTAGAGTTTATTCTCAACAGTGGGCCAGAGAGATTTTGAAGAGGCTCTGGGTCAGTGGAATGTAGAGTGA